TATTGAATGAAATAATTCTCAGCTTTAATATTGTTTTCCATCAAGAATCACTTGTTGAGATGGGCAGTATACAAATTAAAGGAAATGGCTTTTCCTTCGTAGAAGAATTCTGAAATCAAATTCTGCCATTCTGAAGTAAGAAAAGGAATCAAGCCAAGGAGATATTCTTATAACATCAGAAAGGACAAATCTCACAGTTAAAAAAACTGTAAATGTTCCAGTCACTGAAATTTTCATTTTATGTCCTTAAAGACTAAGATGATATTTCAACATATGGTACCATACATCCAGAAGTAATTTCTTGCAAAAAAAAAAAAACATGTTCTAATGAGCCATACCCAATCTGGGGAACATTTTAATGCTATCAGTATAATTCTTCTTTTTCAGTTAGGAAGTATGGATGAAATCTTTTCCTTCTTTTGAAAATAAGATAAAGATAAGATAAGTTGCTACTCATGCGCTTCGTTTTCTTACATGTCACCTAACCTTGTTATTCCTCAGTGAATGAAATATTTCTTTGAAGTAAGAAGTCTGAATGTTCTTTCTGTTCCCATATTATCACCACAAGGTTTGTTTTCAAACTGAGTGAAAACAAAGAAAACAAATCTGTGTTCATGCAGTATACCGTAGCATAGCACAATTAGTTTGATATAAAGATTCAGGATTAAAAACTGAACACTGTGAGTTCTAATTTTCCCTGAGGCATGAAAATCAGCTGATTGACTTTGGTCTAGTCACTCTTTTACAAAATTGTTGTGGGGAAAACAGGAGAGGGAGCATCCTGTATGCCTCCTTAAATGGCAGAAAACAAAGATATGATTTAAAAAAAAACTGTTTAAAAGCTCAGTTAACAATTGCGCATCATCTTACCATACAGACCCCTCCCCCCCGTAAATGTGCAAACTGAATTTTAACAGGATATGTATCAGGAAAAATGGAAAGACACAGGTCCAGTTGTGTAATCACCCTGCCCCAACTTGTCCAGATTGGCCCTGGCCCTGATTATACCATAAGTGTTTTCTTTAACTTTCCTCTGATTAAAATAATGTTAAATGAGGAAATGACAACTTCCAGATATCTTATCAGCTGAAAGCATTGTAGAAATAGTCATCTCATAAAAGACCCAGTTATTGTGTGTTGTCTGCAAGGTCTGCAAGGTGTAATTTAAAAGGTCAAGATGTGAGTTGTCACAATGGTGCAATTGAAACTCTAGCTGTTTTTTATCTGTGCTGCGTGTTCACTGCACATATAAAATGGGACAGAGATTCAATTGCCACCCTGATAATCTTACTGACCTTGCCATCCTGTGGACACCCAATAGATTGAAGATATAGTAACTGATTGAAGGAGGGTGCTGCCATTTTGAATTTCTGGAAACGATGTCTTGTCCCTAAGAATTGTTGGGGTTACAAAATCTGGTTTCTGGACATTCAAAATGGATAATGTAAGAAACCATAAAGCTTGGTTAGCTGATCTGTGGGATGGACACAAAAAGGTATCATGGGAATGCAGTTTAAGCTTTGAGATGCAACCTTCTTTATAGGCCACTGTTGCTCTCTACTCCTGAACTCCTGATGCAGTAGCATGGCTAATCATATAATGTTCTGTTTTCTCCCTAGTAAATAGGGATTAAATTGCAGTAGGCTGTTCAGTGTCCTTACAGTTTTGTAAGGCTCCCATGTCTGGTTTAAAGATAATGACTCATAAACAGAAAAAGCAGAGAACATGGAATTGATAGTACTTAGGCAGCATGCTAATAGACATACAATCACTGAAGTGTACTTTTTATATAATGATCATAATTATTTTAAAAAAATTTATAAATTAATTGACTGGTGTTTTTGCAATTTTTGTTTTGAACTTTTGTCTGTTGCTGACTGATGACATATTTCCCTTTCTTAGTGTTGCCTAAGTTGCCCCTTTATGTTGCAACCATTATCTGATTGGCTACACAAAAGGCTTTCTTGCAGTCATTCATGTCACAATGGAATTTTTTAAAAAGTTTATTTTTCATTTATGGAATTAATCAAAGAACTGTGTTTCATAAACACAAACCTGTTTGAAAATGGTACGACAAATGGTGGTAATATTTTGCAAAGGTGCATTTTCATTCAGAGTTCTTAAGTTCGTTCTTTGAAAGAGCTCTTTTGAACAGAGGAAAAGGCCACAAAAGGAACTGTCACTTCGTTTCTTCAAAAGCTCACTGTGGAATGGCCTGACTTTCTAGCTGCCAAATAACAGTTTGATGCATTCTTTTTAATGGCTGTTTCCTTATAATGCCTTTCAAGTGAAATACTGTACCGTTTGTCTGCAAAACTAGAGCGCACTGATTTCAGACCGCGTTCTCCAGTAGGCTGACTAGGCAATGTGTGAAATGCAATTCAGATTTTAGGTGCTGCTGAAGCATTGGAAAAGCAAGCAGCTCCAGAAGAACAATGCTGGTGACTCGTGAGGGCAGGGGATGAAGAAAGATACCAAATTTAATTGTTTATTCCTCCCACCCCCTTCAGTTTACAATAGCAATTCTCAGCTGCTACAGTATTTGAAAACAGATTTATTTTGTTTTTCTGTTTGCTTGCTGGTTTTTAAGGTTTTTTTTTTCTTGATCAGTAACCATAAGCTTGGCCTTTGGGCCTGGGGTGCGCAGTTTTCCATATTGCTGAGAAAGGGAGAATGTGCTTAGAATGTATTCCGTTCTCCACCTCTAAACAATGGCTTTTTCTACTGCAAGCTTAAGGTGCTGGACTCCTATGTGTAATTTGGTTGGAAAGGAAGCATATTTAAGACATCTCTTTCAGGGGTGGGATTCAAATTTTTTTAACAACTGGTTCTGTGGGTGTGGCCTAATTTGTGGATATGGCTTGGTCATGTGACTGGGTGGGTGTGGTTTGATGACTGGGCATGGGTTGGTGGTCATGTGACTGGATGGGCATGGCTTGTATGTAAATATTATAAATATTTATGTAAATATTGATTTTTTTTATAAAAAAGAGCAACTTTTACACAGAATCACAGATTCACTTAGAGATCTATTTATCTCCAATTGGCTACCTGAGTCTGTCACATAAAATTTGCTTCCAAGCAAACTCACAAAATTAACTCACAACACACCATGTATGTAAATATTGATTTTTTTCTAAAAAAAAGACCAACTTTTACCCAAAAGCAGGCAAAGCAGGCAGGCAGATTGAGTTGCTCACATAATCACAGATTACCTTAGAGATCTATCTATCTCCAATCGGCTACCTGAGTCTGCACTGGAAAGTAGAAGCTTCAGTCCTAAGGAAGGTTTGGCTCTGCTAAATACCACCTCTGGCCCCACCCTTCTATCCTTCCTGACACTAGGAATATACTGGAACATTTTGCTCTGAATCTTCACAATTCTGGGAGATGAAGGCCACTAAGATTGAGAAAGACTAATTTAAATAGGATATTACCAAGGACAAGGGAAAAGAAAGGAAAGGAAAGAAATCAGGGGTGGGATGCTACCAGTTCGGCCCGGTTCTATAGAACCTGTAGCTGCAAAGAGCAGCTGACACTGAACCGGTAAGTTGCTATTTGTTTCTTTTTTTCCCGACCATCAGCTGTTCTGCTCTGCCAGGAGATTTAGATTAGCTAGAAAGCAGGAAATCCTTGGATTTCCTGCTTTCTAGCTAATCTAAAAGCAGAACCAGTAGTGGAAATTTTGAGTAGTTCAGAGAACCGGTAAATACCACCTCTGACTGGATATTTTTCAGTCTCCTTCCTCTGCCATTCCCACCAAGCCATGCCCACAGAACTGGTAGTAAAAAATTTTTAAATGCCACCACTGGTGGGGGCAGATATTACCCTAGAGGGTAGGATGTTACAAAGGGCAGGTGCTGCAGCAGAGAAGGCTAAATGATGCTCAGGGCTACATATATTGGGATAGTGGGGAATAGCAGCTTTGTGGGAGAATATTCTTAAGAAAAGCAGAATCAAATGCACTTTTAAACAAATCTGTTTTAAAAAGTCAATTTCTTCCTGTTTTGGTAACAGAGAGATATAACCACAGAGATTTACACTGATCTACACACCTTACTTATTACGTAGACATAGAGACCTAGACTTTCCATGTGCACAAGATTTATAAGTTACTAAAAGCTTTGGCAAGTTTCCCCACTCAAACCTAATATCTTCCACAGTATATTGGAACAGAATTATCCCCTCCTGAATGCTTGTTTTAGAGCTTCTTGAAGCAAAGATAGTCTTGACTTTCATGTTTCAGGGCCTTTTTTAAAAACCTCTTAATAACATGATTCTTTCCAATAATGCTGACCTTCGTGGTTCAATGCTTTCCTGACAGAGATAAGATACACTTGACCAAGAATGACCAAATAAGAGAAGTCCGTGGAATGGAGACTGCGTTTTTGGAAAAAATAAATGCAACAAAAATGAGATTATTGTTCTTTAAGCCAAACACACATTGCCTGAGACCAATACATTATTTATTTGTATTATTTATTACCTGTCATCATTTGCTTGTGGACAGGATTTTCGATGTCACTGGAGAATCATGTGGTCATTAATAACTCATAGGAATGAATAATGTATTTATAGATGCATCAACAGAATTTTACAGCTGTCTATTCCGTATGGAGACGCACTACTCATTTATGATAGCGATTTTGCAAATGGTAAATTTGAATAATATGCATTACATGATGAGTTTAAAACAATGTTTCTCAACCTTGGCAACTTTAAAATGTGTGGACTTCAACTTCCAGATTGCTGGTGCGGGAATTCCGGGACTTGAAGTCCATATATCTTAAAGCTTCCAAGATTGAAAAACACTGCTTTAAGAAACAGCTCCTATTGAAAGCTGTAAGTCTCCCAATAGACAATAACAGTGGATATTCTAATGATACTGATTAAACTGAAAACAATAGCCCTCAAAATCTTGTGAATCAGACCAATTTTATTCTCAATGACTATCTTGAGATCTATAGGAAATCCACCCACAGGGCATAAATGATCAAGACTACTCAGAAGCAATATTGTCATATTTCCATTTTTTGTAAGGGCTCGAAGTCCATCATGTGTAAATGCTTTGAATATCCATAATATTAATTTAAGGATGAGCAAAGGAAATGATAACAAGCATAGTGTTGTCTCTATCAGTAAATCTTGAATTCATGAAGGAATTATGATAAAGGATGAGAAAGTTCTGGTCTCCACTTAGTATTGACTTTTCTGTTTATTTGTCTGCAATTACAATTCAAATATGCTGATAATTGTGTAAGACATAATGGTTTTCCTTCTAATTAGGGATGAATTGCCAAGTTGGGCATATTTTGTACAGAAACAGAGAATACAATATAACCTGAGTGAATTAACAGGTGATTGGCTAAATTATGCAAAGTGGTCCACATTTAAAACAATCACTATTTGGAAAAACAAAAATATACTCTACTGACCTCAAAGTCTATTAGGAGAGATTTGGAACGCAGTTTAAATTTTCCCTACTGATCACTGAATAAATAAACATGGCTGATCAGTGAATAAATAAACATGGATCAATGATAGATTGAGAATATATATTATGCTGAACCTTATACAGCAAAGAAATTTAGTTGAACCGAATTTTGATTGTGAAATTAAACAATGCTTTAGAATTATTTTTAAAGATGTACGTGCATCAGGAAAAACCAAGAAAATAATCTTGTTCTTTAAATTTAAAATGTATCTTTTCTGCATATTGATTGTAAAATATATTATGAATTAATAGTGCTCTTTCACTTATGTATGTATGTATACAGCACAGATAAACTCCGTGGCTAAAACACTAATTACCAGAACCAATATATATATATATATATATATATATATATATATATATATATATATATATATATGCAAATTTGTTAGCACACCTTGGTATTATTTCTTCCAGAGTAAGAGACAATTTTGTTAGAACGCAGAGATGTATATTATTTGCCAAACCATACTAAGAGCTCTAATGTAAATTGGTGATATTTAATGTAAATTGGTGATATTTATAATAGCCTATTCATTATAAATATGGAGGGACATTTTTCCTGAGAATAAAAATCTAATGAGGTCTCTGTATTGATACTTTTAATATACTTTCCAGATGATTAGTGAAAGCCAACTAACTGTAATTTATATTTAATACTGAAATACCAAGTTAACACAATATGAATTGTGGAGTAGCTGCATTTCTATTTTTCTTGCTCTTTTAACATAAGGATAAATATGCGCCAATTATTTTAATGAAGCAATGAAGAAAAAGGCGAATGGAATAGTAGAGCATTGCTATGAAATAGCTGTCTGCAGGGTGGCAGAAACAAATACAATTCCAGATACAAATTATGATTCTGAGAATTCCTGAGCATTCCAATTCAGGTGAATGTACCTGCAATTCCGGAAATTGACAGGTTGGGAAATTGAGATGTGGGAGCCCAATTAGCAATGATATCTTCTGTGCAATGCAATTGAGCATTTCTGTATTAGAGGTGATTCAGATATTATAAAGGTGAGGCAGTGTTTTGTTTCTAGCACAATTAGTAAAAAGCAATTATCATGGGTATCTGTCTTTCATTGCCAGATCAAATAGGTGACTGAAACAATAAGGGCAATTTCCTAGGCAGGATATTTAGCTAACAGAAAATATTGTGCTTTGAATAAACATAGAGAAAGACACTATTCCTCAACATAGAATTCCAAGAATCTATTGGATCATCACAAATACTGAATAATAATTATGTACCAGTTGTATTTATTATTATTTATTTATAAATTTTATTGGCTGTGTTAGGGATAACATTGGTTACCTAACTTATTTGGGTAAAATAATATATAGAGACTATGATTGTGTGTATCACTTTAAACTGTAAACCAAGTATTTTGGATGCGGTTGTAAAATCACCATAAGAGGGAGCAAGAGAGCTCACTGTTTGCTGGCTTATACTGGATTGCTGACAATGATAGATTGATGGTGATAACTGCGTGTTTGCTGAGAGAAGAAAAGGGGTTTGATTTTTCTTCATATCTCTGACTGCAAAAAGAGATATATCACTGGACTGATTGATTGTAAGTTTAATGAACTCTTTTTCGACACTGGACTTTGCAAACTGAATAACCCCCGGACTGACTGAACTTAGTGTATGGCATATGGACTGTTTGACTATGCTATAACTCTTGCTGGAATAAAAACTATTAAATTTGCACAGTGTATCTGTCTTACTGAGTGTAAGCTACTACAACGTTTTGTCTCACATATCTGCCTGCCTGCTAGACTGCCGTTGCACGTTCTGCTAGGGTGTATATCCCTAACAGGCTGCCCATCTTATTATAGGGTAACTCTAGGTAGCTTACAGTTACATCTAAGTTAAAAATTAAAAAGTTAAAATCAAATATTAACTCCAAAGACAAATAGGGAGGATGGGGTGGAATGGGGTGGGCGGGAGGTGGAATCTGTTATTAATCAACCACCTCTATTGCGCTGTTCATCCACTGGCGGACTGGCAAAACCATATTTTTTTTAAAACAAGTTTTATTCAATTTTTCACATAAAAACAAAAAGCTCATCACCGGATCATCACTTTTACATACAAATATGACAATAGTTGTTATACATTCATATATACACACTTAATTCTATTATTACCTTTTCCATTCCAAACTTTCAGAAAAGAGAAAAACAAGCAAATTAATCCTAATCTCTTACATTAATCTCAATCCAAACACCCTTTCATTTCATTTCAATTATTTCAAATATAATTCTTTAATATTTATTTTAAGAATAAAAATAACAATATATGTTTGCCTAATTAAAAAAGGTTACCAATGTCTCTCCTTCCTTTTAATAGTCTGTATTAGTTTATTTATTTAAATAGTTTTTTAATCTGTCATATTTTCTTTTCATCACACATTCTTTCTATAAATTCTAGATTAATACAAGTTTTAACACAAAAGACAAAGAAACAAGCATAGGTTCCCCCCCTCCCCTTTTACTGCTTAGTGTGACACTAAGTGGTTAAAATATACCTTTATTCCCTCATCTTAATTCCCAATAAACCTTTATTTTTAAGTAGTTACAATAGTAACCACTACATCTTTTCATTTGGATTCCACGATATATTTTCCCCCCTTAATTTTATTTCTAATTTCAAAAGAGTAAAAGGGAAAAATTGACTAATTCCTGGACCTCATTTTGACCTCATTTTTAAACATCTTCACATTCATTTCAATTGTTACAATTTCTTCAATAGACCTTAACTTTTCTTTTAAAGATAAAAATAAAAATGTATATTCATCTAATAAGAGTTATCAGTATCTATTCCTCCTTTGATAATCTATATTACCCTATTTTCTAAGTATTTTTAATTGCAAATATATTCTTGTTACCCTTTGTCACCCTGCAGAATCCCCTTTTTAATTCATCAACTATTATCTCTATAAAAACAATTTCTTTTCATCATTTTACTATTTGCGTGTTTCTTTATTTCCTGCACCTGTTTCTTACTGCCTTTCCTCCCCCTCTTTTTCCCATATCTTTTCTCATTCCAGTTTATATCACTCTCTTTCTTGATATCTTCCTTTCCCCTTTTCTGTTGCATCTTTCTACCTCTCCTGATTTCACAGGTATTCCCCTTTTGATTACCTTCTTAAATCTCAACTTTTTAGCCTTCCTTCTTTCCCCTTGTCTTTGTAGTGTTCTTTGTGCTAATTGTCTACTTAAGATGGCTTCTCCTTGAGCCAACTCCTCCTCCTCTAAAGTTCTTTCTTTTTGTTCTTCAATTGCCATTTCCATTTCTTTTAACACAGAGCAAAGTGATTCACCTCTTTCCTGTAGTAATTCTTTCATATTTTTAAGTTCCATTTTTAATTCCTGAAGAGATATCATCATTACCAACTCTTATATTTTATAATCGTTGAAATCCACAAAAAACACTTTTACTTTCCTTCTTTCTTCTTCAAGTTTTCTAAAGTTCACAATTGTTCCAACCCAGGGTCTATACCAAAAACATCAATCAATCCCTCAGTCAGTCTTTCCTTGCTTCTTCCTTTGTTCTGGTTCAGCTTTCACTTTCCAAGATTCTTACTTTGTTTCAATATTTCTTTAACATTGTATCAACACAAGTTCATAAAGAAACAGGATGATTTCCCTTTTGTTTGAATTTAAGTTTTTGCCCACAAGATGGCACTCTCCGTTATACAAAGTCTTCACCTTTCCCCCCTATTTTATTATTTAGGGGTTTTTGAACCTCAATATTCCAATGCAATCCAGTTTCCAATTTGTAAATTTTATTATTATTATTTTTTGACAATCTTAAGTCCAGCTTTATTTTATGCCTGTTTATTGCCAAAATATTTTAATTCAATTTAATTAAGTCTTTAGTTTTGGCTTCTTCCTTTCCCAGTTCGAAGCCCCGCTTAGCTGTCAAAATTATTTTATTTTTTCCTGTTCCTTTGTATTTCCGCCACTCACTTTTCTTTTCTTAAAAGTTCAATGTTACCTTAATCCCAGGGTACTTTTTGTTTGGTTGTTTCGCCCAATTGTCCCGGCTCAGATGTTATCCACCTCTTTCTTCACTCCTGCACAAAACTTAGTCCAGCTGAGTCCTCCATTTTGGACCACTGCTTCAGTTGTCTTTGGGGGGGGGGAAAGACCAAGCCCAGAAGGGAAGATGTGGCTCCCCTCAACCTGACTGGCAGCTTCCCCTTACTCCATTGCCCCTCCAAGGCAGCTTCAGCCCCTAATCGCAATGATCGGGGCTCTCCAATGAAAGAGCATGGCCCATAGCCACAGACAGTTGCGATCTACGGTCCATCAGCGAGGAGGGCTCAACCCGGAAGTCCGCAAAGCCACATTTTTAGGCCCTTATGAAAAGATAGGAGGGCTGGGGCCAACTTCACATCAGTGGGTAAGATCTTCCAGAAGGCAGGAGCACAATAACTCTAAGAAGATATTCATTTTATAATAATGATTCTGCAACGACATAATTAGATCCTGATGGGAGAGAGAAGGCACAGTGGTTAACATCTTATGAAATGCACCAAATCTGGGAGAATTGTTTTGTAATTGTCGGTCCCTGGAAAAATAAAATAAACAACTATCCTAACAATCATGTGCCAACATCATAAACGAAACATCCTATTATTATTATTTTTGTTATGAAAATCTAAACTTTTTTCCACCCCTCAGTTTTCATTCCTCCTAAGCAATTTATGGTCCGTATGATAAGCAGCCAGTTTAAGTACTGAACAATTCTCATTGATCTAAGGAACAAATTGTCTTTAATAATCATAATGTTTTGTTAGAATTGGCTCTAACAGTCTCTGTCTAAGTTAATTCATTGTCATTTGTCAGACAATTAATCATTTGTGATGTGGAACTGATTGTAGTCCCAAAAGGTAAATTGTATCTTCTTGAGGTTCCTCCCTTCTTCCAAGTTAGAAGCAATTCTCAAATAAGTATTAATCCAATAGAAGCTGACTGGTGTTATATCTTTATAGTCTCACCTCATAATATGGTGAAAAAAACTTTGTGGAGAGTGGGTGGAATGGTTGCTCAGCAGACCATCTGGAAATGTAATAAATCTGACAGCCACAGCAATCCTATGTAATCAAGTACAACTTCATTATATTAGGAAAATGACTTTCTAATTAACTCATGAGGAAACTTTGTGATTCATTCACCCTAATACAGTCAGAGAGTTCAGACTTCTTCATCAGTGTCATAAAATCATTGTCCCTTGTAAACGATCACTTCTAGTATCAGTGAAGAGCTTTTTTTTCTCCAAAGTTTTTTTTACACATCTCTTCATGTGAGCAATGAGATTCTAGATTACAATATTTATACATAGTCATAGTTACACTTTTAGCTTTCTTAATTAATGTCACTTCAAATTATTATCCATTTGACTAATCTTTAGATAAATTTCCCTTTCATATTTCAATTCATTAATTCAATATCAAAATCATTTCATCCTCACATATATTTTCAATTCTTTATCCCCTATTATTTTCATTTTCAGCTTGCCACCTATTTTATGTTACTTTATGTATTGTTATCATCTATAACTTTCTCAAGACCAATATATAATTAGACAGTCAATGAAAGAAAAAACGAGTAAAAGTAAAATAAGATTAATACATTTAGGATCCACGCAGTATATCCCCCCATCTACAATATATCTTATATCTATTCCAGAGATATTCATATAATCATTTCATATTTTTTTCTTTGTTTCCAAAATTTACCTATATTATTTTAATAAATTTTCATTCCCCTGCTTTTGATTATAATTCATTCATTACAAATATTTTACATTCCCACATAATCCCTTCTAGTTCATTATATTTTCTATTTTCTCATATCCTTTGTATAATCAATTGTATTTTTTATTTCATGTATACCACAAAGAAAAAAATAAAATAAAAACAGTTAATTTCCCCTTTTACTTCCCTTTGACCAATTTCAACCTATAGAATTTATATAACCTAATTCACACTTTTTAAACATACTATATTTTCACCCGTTATCATATTCTCTGTTTTTCTAATATCATTTAAATAGACATTAGCATATTTTAGGATATGTATATATAAAAGAAAGGATTAATAACAATAGAACCCTCTTAATATCACTCACTCCATCTTCATTTTTCTCATCTATAATCTTAAGGTAATTCCCAGTAAGTTATAA